AATTTCTGAAGAAGAGTCCAGACCCGAAACGTCAGCTTTCCTGCTCCTCTGATGCTGCTTGGCCTGCTGTGTTCCTCCAGCTCTACACCTTGTTATCTCAGACTCCAGCAATGGCAGTTCCTACTATCTCCAACAAGTCTATGTCACTGTTTATGCTCTATGCAAGCCTCCTTCTATCTAACACCATTATCATCTCTTATTTCTTTCTCCCTGATGTTAATTCAATTCCCTCCTTAAATGCATCCAGACAATTCACTTCAACCTCTCTCTTTACTCAAGAGTACCACATTATCACCATTCTGGTTAACTCATTTGGCTACATGGCATGTATGTGGTTCAGAATAATGCAACAATATTGATTTTAATTTCCATTCAGGGTGAGGTTGATCTTGAAGTTGCCTCCTTGCTCTATCCCTGAGAGTGGAAGGCAAATGGCAAGCCACAACTGACAGAAACTGTTAAGAAAACAGCTCAGGATGAAGCATCTGCAGATAATGAGGGACCTACCTGCAAAGCACACATGACAATGTTGACACAAGCAGCACAAATTTGTGATGTATTCTTATAAAGTTGGTCAAATTTGGTTTCATAGTTTTCTGTTTTAAAAAAAAGACACTGCAGTATCAAAATTAAGCAATTAATTAGGGGAACTTTTGCACGAAGCACAGAAAGCTAGCACACAGGTGCAGCAGGTAATCAGGAACGTTAATGGAATGTTGGCCCTTATTTCAAGGGGAAGTCTTACTGCAACTATACAAGGTGCTGGTGAGACCACATATGGAGTACTGTGATCAGTTTTGGTCCCCTTATTTAAGGAAAGATATTATTCATTAGAGGCAGTTCAGCGAAGGTTCACAATGATGATCCCTGATATAGAGGGACTGTCTTATGAGCCGAGGCTAAACAGGTTGGGAATCTACTCACTGTAGTTTAGAAGAATGTGAGGTGATCTCATTGAAACATATAGGATTCTTAAGAGGCTTGACAGGGTAAATACTGAGAGGATGTTTCACCTCCTGGGAGAGTCTAGGACCAGAGGGCATAGTTTCAGAATAAAGGGGTGCCAATTTAAAACAGGGTTGAGGAGGAATTTCTTCTCTCAGAGGATTGAGTCTTTGGAACTCCTTGCCACAGAGAGCTGTGGGGGGCAGAGTCCTTGTGTATATTGAATGCTGAGATAGAGAGATTCTTGATCAGTCAGGAAATCAAGGGTTATGGGGAAAGAGTAGTGAAATAACTCCACCAAGGCTGGTATCCCATCACCAAGTCACCCTTTATTTACACATGCATAATACATGACACTGATCCAGCTCCCTCAGAGCCAGCTCTCAGAGTGAACAGAACCTCTGACACTCGTGTTTATACCTGTCAGCCAGGGCTCCCTGATTGGACCAGCTTAACAGCCCCAATCAGGGAACTCATTTTCTATGTGGACCAACTGGCTGACCGCGTTCCAATCACTACAGACAGGAAAGTGGACATGAGGAGTGGCAGATCAGCCATGATCCTACTGAATGGCAGAGCAGGCTCAAGGTGCCAAATGGCCTACTCCAGTTCCTGCTTCTTATGGTCTAATCAATGTTAATTTGTATTTGAATTTCCAATGAACAAACATTATTTCTCTTATTATCACTCTTAGGCTGTAATTTCAGATTCAGGTCAATGTTTTGCTGAATCATAGAATCCCTACAGTGTGGAAACAGGCCCTTCGGCCCAACAAGTCCACACCGAACCTCAGAGCATCCCACCCAGACCCATCCCCCTATAACCCACCTAATCTACACCTCCCTGAACACTACAGGCAATTTAGCATGGCCAATCCACCTAACCTGCACATCTTTGGACTGTGGGAGGAAACCCACGCAGACACGGGGAGAATGTGCAAACTCCACACAGACAGTCGCCCGAGGCTGGAATCAAACCCGGGACCCTGGCGCTGTGAGGCAGCAGTGCTAACCACTGTGCCACCATGCTGCTTCCTTTCTTAAATGGGCTCTGACCCTAATCCTAACCCAGGTGACAATTCTACTTTAAGGACTGTATTTTCTTCGTTTAAAATTGTATGTCCTTTAACCTCAGGAAGATGGTCCATGTGTCCAACTCTTCACTGCACTTCGCATGTTGCATGTTAAGTTGAATATTTCTCTACTTTTTAACTGTTGACTTCCTTCTTTATTTTCTTTTCCTCCCAGAGGCCTTTGTAAACAGCCAGGAATGGACGCTAAGTCGTTCAGTTCCAGAGCTCCGGTTGGTAAGTTTGCCTTTTTGTTGCTTCTCAATCATATGCCCATCAGCTGCCATTTTGGTTGTTATTGTAGTAACTGGTTTGTTCCCTTGTTTGCTGCGAAACATTTGAGTGTGATTAAACAAAACAGGGTAAGAAATGGCTGTTGAGCATTCCAACCTCATGGCTTGAAACTTGAGATCAAAGTTCAGACAGTTTACGCAAACATCTAACAGGCAGTATTCGGACCTTGAGCATACTCCCAGTACATCTATTGCTTCACACACACACCACTACCAACACAACTACCACCATCACTACCCACCTATACCCCAAACTCCAAAAGCCAAAAACCACCGAGTTCCGTGGCCAACGTTTCTGTCTCAGACTTACTGCAGTGCTCCAGCGAGGCTCAGCACAGGCTAGAAGAACAGCTTCTCACTTTTCACTTGGGGTCCCTGCAGCCTTCAGGACTCAATATCGAGTTCAATCATTTTAGAGCCAGAACACCTTCTTCTATGTACTTTACCCACCCTTGCACCCCATGTCATGACATGGGCTGCTTTCAGCACAGCCAACCCATTTTCACCTTCATGGTACTCATTATCAGCTTTTCTCCTTCCCTGGCTTTTGATTAACAATCCCTTTGTCCGGCTAACTTTCTTTCTCTGCCTCTGGGCTCTCTCTCCACCTATCCACTCACTCCTTTTCTCCCCAATTCCTTTCATCAGTACATATTCCACCTACTACCAGTTCTGAAGAAGGGTCACTGGACTCAAAATGTTAACTCTGCTTTCTCTCCACTGATGCTGCCAGACCTACTGAGTTTCTCCAGCAATTTCTGTTTTTGCAGCAATTGACAGTTTCCCTGATGATGGACAGATCATTTTTCATGGTCAATATGAGGCCATTGGTCCAAAGGACTTTATAATTGGGTGAAATAACTCCACAGAGGCAGGTATCCCATCACCAAGCCGCCCTTTATTTACATGTGGAGAGTCCTTGACACTGATCCAGCTGTCAGTGTGTGAGGATGTATGACAATCCTGTTGTTTTTTTTAAGAAAGACACCATTGTGTAAGAACTTTATTCGGTATTTCCACTGCCAGGAAAAACACCCATGTGGCCAGAGAGCCATTAACATGCAAAGACTGACAAGGGCAATGCTTATGTGAGAAATGTGAAGGGGAGGGTAGGGATTAAATCAAAATAGAGTTGGAGGGGGAAATAAAGCACTCCACTCCCCACGGTGCCCACCTCTCCCTAAAGGCATCGAGAGCATTGGTGGACACCACATGCTCCTACTCCAAGGACACCCAGGCTCGAACATAACCGCGGAAGAGGGGCAGGCAGTCCTGTTTATATCTGTCAGCCAGGGCTCCCTGATTGGACCAGATTAACAGTCCCAGTCAGGGAACTCATAGTTTATGAGGTCCACCTGGCTGACCTTGTTACAATCACAACATCCATCCCCCTCTGAATCTGAGGACATAGGCTGTTTCTTTCTTTTTTGTAGCTCCTCCTTGGACATTTTAGCACCAGGTAAGGTTCCTCCAACTCTGCCTCTGATACGGGTGGCATGTAGCTCACAATAGCTTGCCTCTTGCGCCCTGAGCATCTCAGAAGAAACTCATTCTCTTCTTCAGCAGGCAAAAGGATTGAGGCAGCGACATCCGCCTTGTCCATCTCAAATTTTGAGGTATTTTCGACGCTTGACGGAGAGGGAGAACCCATGGGTTCTGCCAGCCTTTCCAACTATTCTGAAGAGCTGGGCATGTTTTGCCCCTGCCCTGTTTGAGTTTGCAGCTTTCATATGGTTTATGCACTTGTTCAGGACGATCGCACCCACCTGAACTTTATATGGCACTGGACCTGACCTGACATTGACCATGCCTCTTACCCATGCAGGGGCATTCCCGTGGTTCCTACACTAAACCTCGTCCCCTGAAGCAAAGTCTCTCACTTAGTGGAGTCTTGTGTTTGGTATTAGCATTCCTGATGCCGTGTCAACATCCCCCCCTTCCCTCACCCCAGGTCTAGGAAGATCAGATTTAACCTGGTGTGGAGTCTTCTCTGCTGAATTCAGCCTGAAGCTATGGGCAGCACGGCCTTATCCTCTTCAAGTAGACCTAGCAGGGGTTTGTGGTCCATTATTATTACAAATTTACATCCGTAAAGATATTGGTGGAACTTCCTGTCTCCAAATATGATTGCCAAACCTTCCTTCGCTATCTGGGTGTATTTACGCTCTGCATTAACCAAAGTCCAGGAGCATGTGCTATTGGGTGTACCTCTCCGTTGGGCCACTAAGAGCTAATACCACCTGGATGCTGTATGGGGAGGCATTGCATGTCAATACCAGATCTTACTTGGGATCATAGTGTACCACCACCTTCGAGGATGATAGCTGTTTCTTCACTTCCTGAAAAGTTATGGCTTGCCTACATGACCATTTCTAAGGCGGATCCTTTTCAAGCATTGACGCAAAGGTGTCAGGATGGAGGCCAGGTTACGTATGAACTTTCTGTAATAATTCACCAATCCAAGGAAAAACCTGGTAAGGAAAATGCTCTGGTACAGACGTGGGAGCTGGGGCACCTTTGATTACCCTTACTTTCTCTTCCAATGGGTGTAACCCAGTCTTGTTGACTCTGTAGCCCAAATAGGTCACTTTTTCCCTTTAAGGCATATGCCTGCCTGTCTAAGGACTATGTCGAAGTTCTCTAAATGCTCCTATTTAATCTTCCCTGTTATTAGCACGTCATCCAGATAAATGGCAGTCTGGGGTAGACCTTGTAAAATGTTTTCCATTGTCCGCTGAAAAATGGCACAGGCTGATGATGCCCCAAATGGCAGTCTCCTAAATTGGCACAAACCCTTATGGGTATTAATTGTAGCATACTTCTGGGAATCCTCATCTAAACGCAACTGCAAGTACACATGGCTCATGTCCAGCTTCGTGAAGGACAGCCCCCCTGCCAGCTTGCGTATAAATGCTCGATGCGAAGGATTGGGTATTTATCCAGGAGAGAAAAGCTGTTTACCATTTGTTTAAAATCCCCACAAAGGCGAACCGACTCATCAGGCTTCACAACTGGTATGAGCGGTGCTGCCCATTGTGCAAACTGGACTGGTTTGATGATTCTTTCCCTTTCCAGCCTCCTGATTTCTACTTCTACTTTTGCCCATAAGGCAAATGGCACTAAACGAGAACAAGCCAGCTCGGCGAGCAAGTCCACAACCTCACCCACAACCCGAGCTACAAATATTTGCTGAAACTTTAAACCTCTGGGTATTTAATTAGGCCTTCACTCAGGCAGCCATTTTCTAAACGAAAAATGTTGAACCAATCTAGGTGAATCTTTCTCAACCAAGCTTGGGCCCGAGCCTTTTACTACAGTCACTGTTAACTGAGCCAGCTGCTTCTCATAAGAGATTAGAACCAAAGTTGTCCCCTTAATCTGTAAAGGTTCCCCGGTATAGGTTCTCAGTCTAGTCAAGATCTTGCACAATCTTAAGGATTGGAGTCCAGACTGAATTTTGTTAAAGACTTGTGCTGTGATCACTAAAACATCTGTGCTGGTATCAACCTCCATTAGAACCAGGTGACTATTTAACCAGACATTTATTTTGATTTTCTGATGAAGAGTCTAGGCCCGAAACGTCAGCCTCTCTGCTCCTATGATGCTGCTTGGCCTGCTGTGTTCATCCAGCCCTGCACCTTGTTGTCTCGGATTCTCCAGCATCTGCAGTTCCTACTATCTCTGATTCAATTTATTTTGATTGGCTCTGATTTGGATGTCGCTAAGCAATTTAACTGTTCCAAGCCAGATATAGATTGGGTTTCCAGGGAGTGCACTGTCCTGGATACTGCCATGTGAATTCCCTTGCTCAATTTAGGTCAAGAGGGACTGTTTTGCTGTCTCGAGTGCACATACCAGCAGCAACTACAATGGCTTCCGGCCCAGATCCTAAAGAAAGTGTTAACCAGTTGGCCAAGGCTTGCTTTGTTTTGGGGTTTTACTGTGGGCTGATCTAGAATCCCTCTGATCAGGATATGTCCTGAGTGAGCCTATACAATTGCCTTCACTAAAGTGATGTTCCCCAAGCTCAGTTGACCTGGTGAGGGTTTCTACTTCCATCGGAATACCCTGTAACTCATATGCTCCACTTGTCACATTAAAGCAGTTTTGCATGGTTACATCATTAATCCCATATACCAAACAGTCTCTCAACATCTCATTTAAGGGTTTAACCCAAGTCACATGCCTCTGCCAGTCATCTTAACCTTGTCAAAAATCCCCATATGGAGTCCTCTTGTTCTCAAATTGCTGAGTAAAAACAAGAGCATCTCAGAATTAGAGGAGGCTTGCGGTCGTAATATTCCTTAAATAAATCCGTCAATGTTTGAAACGTGTTAGTATCTGGTGCCTCAGGGAATGTTAGGCTCTGATAACCAAAAAGGCTGCGGTTCCACAACCTATCAGGAGAATTACTCAATGACCCAGCATTCACTGCTCTCTGTGGAAGAGAATTCCAAAGCTCAATGACTCTCTGAAAGAAGAACTCTCTCCTCAACTCTGTGTTGAATGGGAAACCTCTTATTTTGAAACTCTGCTCTCCCAAAATGTGAAACATTACCTCAGCATCTATCCTGTCAAGCCCCCTCGACATCTGTATGTTTTCAATAAGATTGTCTCTCATTCTTTTAAATTCCACTAAGTATAGGCCCAACTTGCTAAACCTTTCTTCATAAGACAAACTCCTTCGGCTCTGGTAATAAGCCAAGTGAACATTCTCTGAACTGTTTTCAATGCAAATATGTTCCTCCTGAAGTGAAGTGGCCAGAACTGTGCACATTGCTCCAGGTGTGATCCCGTCCTCACCCTGTACAGTTGTAGCAACAGTTTCCGACTTTAATGTTTCATCCACTTCCCAATAAAATTGACTTTTTATGATTCATGTACAAGGACATCCAGATCCCTCTTTATCACAGCATTCTGCAATCTCTCTCAATTTAAATAATATGCTGCTTTTCTTCCTACCAATGTGAACAACCTCACATTTTTGCACAATATACTCTATCTGCCAAATTTTTGCCCATTCACTTAACCTATCTATATCTCTTTGCCAGCTCTTCTCCTTACAAACTCCTTTCCTACCTGTCTTCGTATCATCAACAAACATGGTGACAATACACTCAGTCCCTTCATCCGAATCATTAATGTAGATTGTAAATTGCTGTTCATTACTTACTTTGGGCCTGATGCTGATCCCTGTTTCTTTTGCTGGTCATTCAGGAGACTCTGCATACTCCTGTTTCTTCCTATGACCTACGACATAATATCATTGCATAAAGCTGAAAGGTTAAATGAACTTTGCCAGAATTTGAACCAGTGATTTTTTTGCTGAGTCTAAAGCATAACCAATTGACCTTATTGTTCTTGAATGAGAGTATGTGTAGGGATATGTAACTGTTTAGTATTATCAATTATACCATTGATGCTGTCTGGTAGACCTGCCAACAAAAAGAGCATTCACCTTAATTTCAGGTGGCTCAGCTATGTATCCCAGAGAACAGTCACACTGGCTGAGCTTTGTGTTGTTCCCAGTCAGGCCACTAGATGGTGCGTGATGATAATGTGTATAATTTTGGGACAGAGAAAGAAGGGACAAAACTGGCATCCTTAATTGATCTTACCTGAACAGTAGCTCCTCTGAATACAGTACTTATTGTCCAGATGTAGGATCCCAACCAAATCTTCCTGGCTAGTGCAGATCACTAACAAGGTTAGAGGGCAGAAAAGCAGTTTGAATTGTGTCGTGGACAAGTTGGAAAAGGAACAGAAAAATAAGGTTCCTATATTACATTGAATCACATTGAGTCTACAGCACAGAAACAGGCTGCTTCGCTCAACTGGTCTGTGCCAATCTTTATGCTGTGTAGAATCATAGAGGTCTACAGCACAGAAAAAGGTCTTTCAGCCCATCAAGTCGGTACCAGTGAAAAACAACCACCGAACTATTCTAAGAGATAGTAAGAAATACCTAACTATTCTAATCCCATTTTCATCCCATTCCCATTTCTCAAGACAAGTCTCATCCTAACTCCTCATTTAACCTCATCGCTATAACCTTCTCATTCATTCTCCCTCATATATATCTTTTCAATGTGTCTACACTACTCATCTCAACCACTCCCTGTGGTTGTACACTCAGCAATCTAGGTTTTAAAAAATTCTCCATTGGACTTATTACTTGCTATCTTGCATTCACAGAATCACAATTATTATGATGCAGGAGGGAGCCAGTTGGCCTGTCATGCATGCACCAACTCTTCAAATAAGCGTTGTTACCTAGTGCCAATGTCTTGCTTTTTCCCCATACCTTTGCACACTCTTTCTATATAAATAACCATTTAGTGCCCGCTTTAATACTTCTAGTTGATGGCCCCTAGTTCTGGTCTCTTCCCACAACAGAAACATCTCTATGTCCACCTTATCGAAAGCCTTTTGTAGTTTTGAAAACCTTGATCAGTCACCTCCACAGCCTTTTTCTAGAGAAAAGACCTCAGCATGTTCAGTCTTTTATCACATAGTTTTGTTCTGTCAGATTTAGTCACATTCTTGTGAATGTACCAATTATGAACTAGAAGCTCTGTGATCTCATGATTCTTTTTTCACAGGGATTGGTTGGTAGTCCATGCAGTGGGAAGTCTGCACTCGTACATCGATATCTGACTGGTACCTACGTGCACGATGAGTCTCCAGAAGGTGAGTGCCATAGTTTCTTGGAGTTTTTAATGTCTTCTAGTACTTCATGTAAAGTAAGGATGCGATTCAGGCTACTGCTATAAATGCATGCCATAACCGGGCTCTCATGTATTAAAGTGTGCAGGAGTAAATGCTCTGAATGTTGCGAAAAGTAATTATTGCCTTCATTTTATTTTGTTTTACATCGCAAAATTTGTTCAGTACAAAATGGCTTTCATTGGTTTCCATCTGCCCTGAGTGTATTAAGTGAGATCAGAGATTGGAAGAAATTTTTCTACCACAGTAGAGGAGAACTCTCCCAACCATAATTTTCAAATGGACACTGATTAACTTCATAAGAGATGTGGGTAACATGTTGTTTGCAACAACTGATTCTTGTGCTGAGATAGACTGAGATGATACTCTTGAATTTTGGTTTTATTTTAATACAGTACCCCTCCAGATGCAGCTAACCCATTTTTACAGTTTTCTTTTTAAAAAAGTAAACTGCAATGATGGAATACTGCATGGGACTTAATGGCTGTCTCACCAGGTGAAGGAATTAATGGAGTGAAAAAAATTGGAACTGCTGAATAGTCTGGAATTTTATTCTGTACACTTAGGTTCATTATGGAATATTAATGGGACTTTTCTTCAGTAAGGTGAAGAAGTGGAACACTGTCTACAAAAGGGTAAATTGTTCATAAACTGTGGAAGGGAGCAAACTCGATGACTTGAAAAGCCATTCCCAGTTTCCACTAAGCTCTGTGCATGCACAACTATGCAGAAACCTGGAAGGTACCATGTGAGCTGTACTGTGCAGGTGCAGCCACATAAAATGTTTACACGTACTGGGTATTGAAAAAACTGGCTGTGCACTTCAATTAAAATGTACAGAATTATTGGCCATTGCTCATTCCAGGCTTTCTTGTGTTCTTATGGCCAGTTGTGGACCTTCTTTGCCAGAGCTCTTGGAAGATTAATGTGGTATAATACTTCTGTCATAAACCAACTGATCTTCCAACTCAGCCATGATCACTGCTACAGGAGATCCACTAATACTTTAGCAAATCTTCCCAGCTTACTTACAAATTAAACTTGTCAGTCTGACCATTTTAGGATTCTATCCAGGAGAAGTGTTCAAATTACAAAAGAAAATGCCTGGATATTGCCTTATTCTCAGTTCTTAATCTGTGGGAAATTGTTGTTCAGAACAAAATATTAAAGCTGTCAACTCCTGAAGTGTTCATTCCTCCCAGCCTGCCTTGTCCAATCAAGTAGCCTTTTCTCTATCACCAATATCTTTATCACTTATAAACAGAAATGCACAAAGCAATTGGTGAGACAAATCTTTTTGAACACCTAATACATTTTTTTCTCCTGGGTTACTCACAGGCTCCAGGACAATCCTGGAAGTTTGGCAACTCTAATTCACAGTTGTCTTGAAATCTGTTTCCCTTTCTTATTTTATTTAAATAGGACTAAAGATACCCTTTTAAAAAATATAACACATTAAAGGAATCCTATTCAGTCACATGGAGGAGGACGTTTGTCAAATTAGCATCCATGTGCATCTCCAGCAGCCATCACTCCCCTTCTTTTCGCCCTCTCACTGCTTCCTCCAAAAAGAAGAAGCATTTTAAAACCAATTGGCCAATGCAGTGGTGCTAAACCCATCTGGTTCACTGATGTCCTTTAGGGAAGGAAACTGCCATCCTTACCTGGCCTGGCCTACATTTGACTCCAGGCCTGCAGCAATGTGGTTGACTCTTAACTGCCCTCTTGGCAATTAGGGATGGGCAATAAATGTCAGCGACATCCTCATCCCATTAATGAATTTTAAAAAAATGGAAGATGCAGGTTTGTGGTGGGTCAATGGAGACAACAAGAATGTTCTCAAGCAGGAACAAGGGGAAACACTCTGGGCTTGTGTGTCTCAATGTTTGAGAGTTTTCTGAGATCACGTTGCTCAGAGAGTCCTGTTGTGTTGAGGGACTGGAATCACCTGATCATAGAAGGATGCAGCATGGAAAATGGCAATCTGTTAACATAAGTCAATAATAAGTCAAACTTAATTGTTAATCAGTTAGATTTTAATATGTTTCATGAGATCATTGCTCAGATGGTTGAGCTCGAATGGCATCTGCTCCACTAATGGATCCTTTCACCAAATGCATCATTACTTGAAGACATCCAGGTCTTGAAATATTGAAATCAAAGCATGATGTTCATGAAAAATCCACAGGGGAGCTTTTGGAATGAATGGTCCTTCTTCAACTTGTTAAAGTTCACACTCACTCCATTGTTGATGGCGCATTTACTGACAGTTTGCTCTGATAATGCCAAGCTAATCTGATAAAGCACCCAGTGACACTACCATGGGAGATAACCAGCCCATAGATAAGCACAGTGGTCTTTCTGTGATAATAATGTCCTTTAATGCCAGAGAATAATTTCCTGATCATATTGAACAATTGATTTGTATTGTTTTACTCCCTTGCAAATGCATCATTCCTTGAAGATATATGGAAAATACATTGATCCCCAGGTGAGGAAATTGGCAGGTGAATTGCCCCACTTGTGCGTTGTCAGTAGAAAGCATGCTAAAGTAGCTCAGGTTGATATTCTGTCTCAATAATTTTTGCCTCCTCATGATTGAGAACTTGCCTGATGGGCTATCATGAGCACATACCCACATCCTGGCACTTGGTGGCACAGGATGTGGCACCAGGGTTGTTCACTGCTCTTGAGGTAGTATCAGCTTCCATTCATCTTTAACTTTGTGTGTTCACTTTATAATTCTTGGTGCAAGTTCATGTCATTCACAAATTGTCCATTATGGAATATCTTGAGAAATTCTCAATGTCTCTTTCAAACTCCTGCTGCTGGCTAAATTGATACTTAAATGTCTCTGACAGCTCATGGGCTAATTTCCTGCAGAATGAGTTTTTGTTTTCCTCTAAGAATGCATTTCACTTCAACTAATTTTTTAAGTGCCACTTCAAGGGGTGCAGATTTACAGCAACTGAACAAGTCAATTTTTTTTTGTCATGTGGGATTTTGGAATTTCAGCCCACGTTTTGGGAATTGATTCTGGCTATTTATGTGAAAACTGCAAAGTGACATGATCATACAATAGAAGAGAGAATTGGATTGGGGCAGTGTTAAAACATTATTTAATAGGCACTTGTTTGTAATGTCACTGCCCACGATAACCAGAACGTCTCACCCTATATAGTGTTGTACAGAACTATATACACCAGATGTATCTCTGATTTGAATCTTGACTGGAACCAGATTACCATGTTGGGTCTGTACCCAGGTGGGTCACAAACTGCAATGAGCTACATGACCAGATTATTTGTCTGCCCTCTTCGGTGAGTGTAGAAGATTCCATGGTACAATTTAAAAGAGCAGTTGAGTTCTGTCCTGTGTCTCAGCCAATATTTATATCCCTCAACTAGCACCTAATTATCACATTGAGGTTTGTGGGAACTTGCTGAGTACAAATTGACTGCCATGTTTCCTACATTGCAATAGTCACTCACTTCAAAAAGTGCTTAGTTGGAATGAAACTGTTCGGGTCACTTGGCATCAACATTCATTGGAAATGATAACAGCAAGCTAAGCCCTGTTGACCCCACCCCCTCCCCACCCCAGGAAGAAGCACTAAAAGTGGCAATTTGCAGAACGTACTCTGTGTGAGACATTTTAATGTCCACCACTACTGGCTGAACTGAACTACTTCTAAAGGACATAGCTGCCACATTGGATCTGTGGCAGGTAGTGAGGGAATCAACGAGAGGGGTAAACATACTTGACCTCATCATCACCAATCTGCCTGCTGCAGATGTATCTGCCCACGACAGTATTGGGTAAGGGTCACCACCGCGTAGCCCTGGTGGAGACAAGGTCCTGAGTTCACATTAAGAATACTCTTCATCATCTTATGTGGCACTACCATCATGCCAAGTGGAATAGATTTTGAACAGATCTAGCAACTCAAGACTGGACATCCATGAGGTACAATGGGCCATCAGCAGCAGTAGAATTGTACTCCAACACAACCTGCAACCTCATGGCCCGGCATATCCTGCAATATACTGTTACCTTCCAGCCAGGGGATCAACCCTAGTTTCAATGAAGTGTGCAGGAGGGCTTGCCAGGAATATGATCTAAAAGTGAGGGGTCATGCAGGTGAAATAACAACAGAGGAGTACTTGCATGCCAAACAGCGTGAACAGCAAGTGATAGATTGAGCTAAGTGATTCCACAACCAATGGATCGGATCTAAGCTCGCAGTCCTGCCACATTCAGCTGTGAATGGTAGTGAACAATTAAACAACTCACCAGAGGAGAAGGCTTCAAGAATATTCCCATCCTCAATGACTGGGAGCCCAGTACATTGATATAAGATAAGAAGATAACTGGTTTTGTAGAGAATCCATGTTCACAGTTTCACTGAGAGCTTTATTTCAGTTAACAACACTCCATAAAACTCACTCTCCCAATTAACCCTTAACTAATATATTTATCATCTAAGGGCTCTTGTGGTGCAGTGATAGTGTCTCCATCTCTGAGCAAGGAGGCCTGGGTTCAAGTCCCACCTGCTCAAGAAGTGTGTAACAAGATCTCTGAACAGGCTAATTAAAAATATGTCTATCCATCACCTGCTCCCTTGGTCTGTTCAGTCAAATTGCTTCAGAACGTGTTCGATTGTCAAACACATCAGTGCAAAAGTTAAGGTTGAAGAATTTGCAACAATCTTCAGCCAAAAGTGCCAAGTGGTTGATCCATCTTGGTCTCCTCCGGAAGTCTCCAGCATCTCAGGTGCCAACCTTTAACCAATTAAATTCACTCCACGTGATAAAACGAAACAGCTGAAGGCACTGGACACCATAAAGACTATGGGTCTAAGATATATTCTAGCAATTGGACTGAAGACTTGTGCTCCAGAACTTGCCGAGCCCCTAGCCAAGCTGTTCCAGTGCAGCTACAATACTGGCATCTGCCTGTAATGC